ATGCTACCCCGTCGCTGTGCTACAGCAGTGCTGCAGCTGCGCAGCCGTCCTCAGTCGTGCTGCTGCGGCTATGTCGCGGCGTCCCGCGGCGATGCCGCCCAAGAGCCCGCTTTGCTTCGGCTGCCCCGCGGCTGTCCCGCGCGCCCTTTTCAGCGCAGGGCGGGGTCGCCTCGACGAACGCAAGCCGCGGCCTCCTCAGATGGTGATGATGATGATGATGATGATGATGATGCTGATGATGATGATGATGATGATGATGATGATGATGATGATGATGATTGTGATGATGATGATGATGATGATGATGATTGTGATGATGACGACGACGACGACACCGACGACGATGATGATGTTGATGATGCTGATGATGATGATGCTGGTGGTGGTTATGACGATCATCATCATGATGCCGCTGATGATGGTGATGAGCTTTTGCGCAGCATCACCCCACCGCTCCCCTCAGTCGCCGAGCCCCCGGCGCAGCCGCCGTGGCACGGTGGCGCGGGCCCCGTCGAGAGCCGCGTCCACGGCCCGTGCGAGAGCACAGCCTGCGCGGAGCCCGAGGGCGAGCCCGAGGACGCGCCGACGGGCCGGGTCGCGGCCCGAGGGGTCGGGGATCCCGAAGCACAGAACGCGGGGGCGGAAAAGACGGGGGTGATGACTAGGGGGGGATGGATACTATGGCGCGGGCCATGATAGTTACCCAGATTTTATGGCGCCTCCTCTTATTTCTTTAGGCCCCTGGCCCCCCCGCTGGGCCGCGCACGTGCCGCTGGTCGTGAGTTGCAGCCCCCCCTCTTGGACCCCCCTCTCTTGGCCGCTCCCGAAGAGCACGGCACGGGCAGAGAGGCTCTCTCGGAAGGCTCCTCCGATCGGCGTCCTCGTCGTCGTCGTCGTCGGCGGCGGCGCTCGGCCCCGCGGCGGCGGCCGCCGAGGGGCTGGCGCTCGCTCCGCGGCTCACGGTCGCGCGGGCCTGCCGGGCGGAAGCCCTCCGCGGACCCGGGGGAGCCTTTGGAGTACGATCTTTTGGGTGGGGGTATGCGTAAGTCGGGCCTGTCCCTCTACAGGGGGAATATTCAAACCTAGTCAAGCAGTAGTCGGGGGACTCTTTGTGGGGTATTGTTGGGCATCTTTCGAGCATTTCGTTTTTTTTGTTCGTCCACAATCCTCCTGTGGGGGGACAGGCCCGACCTACGAGTATGCGAGGGGGCTGGGCCCGGCGCTGGGCCCCCTGTGCCCTCGGCGCCGACCCCAGCGCGGCGCTCCGCGCGGCGGGGAGGGGTGTCCAGGGCCTCTCCAGGAGGCTGTTTTTTTTTGGGTCCGGGCAAGTTTACTTGCATGGACGGGGGCGAGACGCCACCGATCAGCCTCCTCCTCCTCCTCATGCTTCCGTTGCTCCTCCTGCCCCCTCCCGCCTCATCCTCCAGGCAACACTCCCCCTTTCCTCGTCCTCACCCCTTCCCTGAGAAACTCCTCCGAGGCCTTCCTGGCCCTCTTGGAGCCTGTTTTTCTTTGGCTCCGGGCAAGTTTACTTGCATGGAAGGGGGGGGGGAGCTGAGTCTGAAGCAAGCCGAAAACGATTCGACGTGCGGAAATCACGCGGGTCGAAAGACGCTTGCACGCTCGTGTTCGGTTGAAGAGGTGCGAGGGGGGGCGGGGGGGGGGGGGGGGGGGGGGGGGGGGGCGAACGCCATGCAAGTAAGCTTGCCCGAGTCCAACGAAAAACAGGCTCCAGGGATCCGCGCAGACCTCCAAGGCATTGTGCTCGTGCCGCTTTTTGCCAGGAGGGGACAAAACACACACAGACACAATGAATCGTCGATTCCCCCGAAGATATGGGACACTATGGGAAGTGGGGGGGAAGACGGGAACCTAGAAAATATAGGAACATATTGGGAATCCTTTTATTTGTGTGTGTGTGTGTCTATTTGTGTGTCTCAGGGCTCCGTCATTTTGTTCCTCCAGGATCGAGAGCCGAGGAGGTTTCGTGAGCGGCGAAGATGTCCATATCCCCGCCCTGACGGCCTGTATTCTGGGGCGCGATCCCGCCGGTCGCATGGATGCGTACTGCGCGGGGCATCCGCGAGAAGACGCCCCCTATACCCACAGGGCTCGATGAGGTTTTCAGAAGGAAGGTGAGGGGAGGTGGGCTCAGGGGGGATGCATCGACCCCAACACGCCAATTCGTTGCCAATAGGGGCCCAGTGGCCCACGCCGCAAGATAAAGTACGGATTCGTTATCGGGGGGCATGTCGCCGATCTATCCCGGGATCGTTCAAGGGTGGACGATCCACGCGGTGTCAGAAGCCAAAGCAGTTGTCGTCGAGACACGAGCTTGCTTCAGGTTTCTTGGTTCACAATTGGCTACCGAACAGCCCCCGCGCTTCATGAGAAGTCTTGATGGGCTTGTTTTCCACCACCACCACCATAAGTTGGAGGGGGGAAGGAGGTGGAGGACGAGGTGGAGGACGAGGAGGAGGACGAGGAGGAGGAGGAGGAGGACCCTCTCCCCCTCCAACTTACGGTGGTGGTGGTGGAAAACAGGCCCACCAAGTCTGGTGGCCTGGCCACCCCAGACATCCGGCTGCCTGAGCTTTCCGACACGCGAGCCCGAGGGGGGGACTGGCCCGAGGGGCGAACGCCCATCGAACCCAGACGCCCACCCATCGCGGAACCGCCCCGATTTCCAGACTTGCTGCCGATGCGGTGGATTTCTGGCCTCGCGAGTGACAGTCTCCCCCGAGCCCGCCGTGGGGCTGCACCTCTGGCCGGCGACGGGAAGCCGCCGGGTGGGCGCAGGGCAGGCCCCAAAGAGGGGAACAGCAAGTGGCACAAGCCTGCAAAACTCGGAGGTCCGCGCGGAGTTCTCGGATCGGCGCTGGACCTCCTCCTCCTCCCCCTCCCCCCTCCTCCCCCTCCTCCTCCTCCTCCCCCTCCTCCTCCTCCTCCTCCTCCTCCTCCTCCTCCTCCTCCTCCTCCTCCTCCTCCCTCCTCCTTCCTTGGTCATTTGGCGAAGCAAACAAAAACCACACGACGGCGCCTCCGGCGCCTCCCCTGGCGCGCTCCGCGCGCCAGGGAGGGGTGTCCAGCGCCGATCCGAGAAATCCACGCGGACCTCCGAGTTGTTGTGCTTGTGCCACGTATTGTTCCCCTTCAGAAGTGTCCAAGTTCGGGGAGCTCCATCGAAGAGAGTTCCCCTCGGGCCGCCTCCCGTGTCTGGCTCTCCCTGGGGGTCTCCGGGTCCCCGGGGAGGCCCACGCGAGGCCCATTCTCGCAACAGAAGTCGGCTTGGCATCGCTCGGGCGTGTGCATTTTCCTTCGGCGAGGGCCATCGAGGAGCATCCTCCTCCTCCTTCTCCTCCTCCTCCTCCTCCTCCTCCTCCTCCTCCTCCTCCTCCTCCCCCTCCTCCTCCTCCTCCTCCTCCTCCTCCTCCTCCTCCTCCTCCTCCTCCTCCTCCTCCTCTCCCTCCTCCCCCTCCTCCCCCTCCTTCCTTGGGCATGTGGCGAAACATCCCACTCGAAACCGAAAAAGGCACATGGGGATGGCCGTCCGAGCGAGGGCCCGTCGAGAGGCCCGCCAGACGGGGGCGAGGGCGGGCCGTGGAGACGCGAGCTGGAGAACGAATGGGGAGGATGACGGGCGGAGGGGGCCAGAGCATGGCGGCGGGGACGACGGGGGCACCTCCGAGGTTGACGCAACCTCCGTGCGAGCCTTCCACGGGAGCTCCCCGCAGGGGAGCCCCACCCAGCCAGACAGATGATATCAACCAGACCGATCCGACCGATCCGATTCGGCATCGATTTGGACCCGCTCGATCCAATTCGATCTCGCTTCTTTGACGATGCGATGCAGCCCGATGCCTGCCCGGCGCCGTGGTGCATGCTGGCGCGACGGACCCGAGTCGATCCCGAATTCGTGCAGCGTGCGGTTCGGCACGATGTACCTCTCCGATGCCGACTGCTCTTGGTCTCCCACAAATCGGGGCTTCGGCGAGGGGGGGTCATCCCGAGGCGGGGAACGAGATTGGTGGGATGCTTACCTGTTCCTATCCCTTGAGCCGCTCAGAGCGATTTTCCTCTAAAACCCCACCTCTGCCTCTACCCTTATGTCGGGCCTGCCCTCCTACAGGGGGATTTTCGACGAACAATTTTTTAAAAATACCCCCCAAAACAATCCAAAAATAATCAACAGATAGTCAGGGGAATACTTTTTGAGTATTTTTGAAACCGTTTTGCATCATTGTTTGGTGTATTTTTCAGTTTTCGTCGAAAGACCGCCTGTATGGGGGACACGCCCGACTTAACTCTACCCTACCTCTACGTTCCCCCGAGCCTTGGCCTCCCGCAAAGATCTTTACCCCAGATTTCGTAATAAAAGGGAGGGGGTCTGGACCCTCCAAGACAAGCCATTTCAGACCCCCCCCCCCCCGTGGGAGAACCCTCCAAAACATCGTCCCCAGACCCCCCCAGGCCCTCCAAGATAGCCTGGAAGAGACCCCCCTCCCTGTATTCAAGGGCAGGAAAAACGCCCCTACCCTGGTTTACGAGGCGCTGTGCCCTGAAACTCCTGTGGGCTGACAGGGGAAACCCTGCGTGGTGTGCCGCGTCCTGGCGGTTCTAGGCTTGTGGGGGTTTTCCGAGAGGTTCACAGACCACGCACTTGTAATCCAGGGTGGGGTCGTTTTCTCATCCCTCGATGTATTACGAAATCTGGAGGGAGGAGGAGGAGGAGGAGGAGGAGGAGGAGGAGGCTCGAGGAGGAGGAGGAGGAGGAACGAGGAGGAGGGAGGAGGAGGAGGGAGGAGGAGAAGGGAGGAGGAGAAGGGGGGAGGATACTAACCCATGATTTCTTAACCATTTCGCGTGGTGTATTACGAAATCTGGAGCACCCCGCGCGCTCGAGCCCCGACGGGGTGCGCGGGGCCCGCCCCCCGCGGGCACCGCAGGCAGCCCCCGCAGAGGCCGCGGCGCGGGCCCGGCCCCCGGCAGCTCCCCCGCAGGAGTCTGCGGCGGCGCCGGCGGCGCCGGCGGCGCGGGAGGCGCCGGCGGGGGCTGCGCAGGAGCCGCGGGAAGCTCGCGTCATGTCGGGCGCGTCCCCCTATACGGGAGGAGTTTCGACGAACAGCAAAAAAAACCCTCCCCCCCCCCAAAAAAAAAAATGCACCCAAGAGGTGAAAACAGATTAGAAAAGACAGTCACCAGCCTATTTTTGCATTGTTTTTTGTTTATTTGTGTTTTTTTTTTTTTGACAAAACAAACAAGTTTTCGGCGAAAATCCCCCTGTAGGGGGACAGGCCCGACTTAAAGCTCGCGCCTTGAGCAAGTCAGGGCGGAAGGCTTTCCGCCGATTTCGGCCGCTCGGGGGGCCCTCGCTGTGCCTCCCGGGGCCGTCGGAGAACGGCTCGGGCTGCCAGGCTTCTATGCTCCTGAGGGTGTGAGGGTACAGGCCCCTGGAGGGTCTCTCCAAAGGGCTTTGGCGACCCGTCCCCCCCCTCCTCCTCCTCCTCCTCCTCCTCCTCCTCCTCCCCCTCCTCCTCCTCCTCCTCCTCCCCCTCCTCCTCCTCCTCCCCCCTCCTCCTCCTCCTCCTCCTCCTCCTCGCCCTCCCGTCCTCGGGTCGCCTACGGCCCCGGGGGAAACCGTCCACAGGCCCCCTGTCCCAGTCTTTCTTTCGCACCGCTCTAGATCTCACGCCCTAACGCACTGGAGCTGTAAGGGTCACTACGCGGAGCCAACTCGAGAGGGGCCATCCTCGAAGATCGCCAGCTTGTCCGCCCGCCAAGAGCGTGCGGCACCGTTGCAGCGTACGGCCATCAAGGCATGAGGCAGCCATCCAATCGGAGATCGACGGTGATGCCCCATGCCTTCGGAGTATCGGGTAGTATGGCCGACATCCCACACTCGTGGTGGCGTCCACCACTACGATCACACACCGTGTGAACACGTGGGCTCCCGCGCCGTCGTAAACAAAACGTCAGCCCGAGGGAGTGGGTCGTGACTTCCGGGGGCGACGCGGGCGCCACGGGAAGTTGGTGTGGCATCGGTTGCGCACGGAGCTGCAGACGCCCCCCCACAGGGAGCCCCCGCTGGCCTCCGCGGGCCCCCCGAGCAGTTCCGGCTGGCCTGGGCCGGCCTCGGCACCCGAGCGCTGCCTCTGGCGGCGCCCCTGGGGCGCTGCGCGCCCCAGGGTCTCCAGGGTTGAGGTTTAAGTCGGGCCTGCCCCCCTACAGGGGGATTTTCGACGAACAACAAAAAGTACCCCCAACAATGCACCCAAAAGGTCAACAACTACCGAAAGACTAGTCCCCAGAGTATTGTTGGATTTTTGTTTTTTATTATTTCTGGGGTATTGTTCATGTTTCGTCGAAAATCCCCCTGTAGGGGGACAGGCCCGACTTACGCTGAGGTGTTGAGACGTCCCCGGGCTCCTCGGGGGGCCCAAGGCCCGCGGGGGGCCACTCTCGCAGGCCTAGAGGTTGACACCGAGGGATCGCGATCTCGGCGACGGCGGCCATGTTCTGGCTTCCCAGGGTGGCCGAACTATGACCACCAGCACCGAAATCCAGGATCCTCTTCTCCCTGTGGAGTGGAGGCCCCCCCCTGTGTTGGTTCTGGTGCCTATCTCCAGGCCTCCCACACTCGGGGGCCAAGTTTGGCTTGGGCCCGCGGGGGCAGCCTGGGCGGGGGGCTGCCCGCTCGGCGCCCGACGCCTCGACGAGCGGGAAGGCTCCCAGCCATCCCTCCTCCTCCTCCTCCTCCTCCTCCTCCTCCTCCTCCTCCTCCTCCTCCCCCTCCTCCTCCCCCTCCTCCTCCTCCTCCTCCTCCTCCTCCTCCTTCTCCTCCCCGGTCGCACTCCTGGGGAGATGGGAGCTTTCGCGTGGTCTTCGGGCCCTGGGGGGCCCTCGACGGGCCCCCGGAGGCTGTGGGCAGCAGAGCCGTGCAGGACGAGCGGCCAGCCTTTTACGTCGGGCCTGTCCTTCCTCCACAGGGGGAGTCCTCAAGACTAGTCAGAACATAGTCTGGGGACCATGTTTTGAACATCTGTTCGTTTGGGGATATCTTTTTGTTGGATATTTGTTTGAATATTTGTTTTCATTTCTTTGGATATCATTGTTTGACCATCCCGGAGTATTTGTTTAAGATCTTTTCGTTTCTCGTCGACAGAATCCCCTTGTAGGGGGACAGGCCCGACCTGAGGCCAGCCTCGGGGCAAAAGGGTCGGGGCTCGATCTCGGCCCCCAGGGGCCCGCGATGGGGGCTGCCGTGGTCGCTGCCGTGGCAGGTCTCCGCCGCAGGGCGTGCCGCTCTGTTCGGGGCTGCCTCTGTGATTTCGTACGTGTGTGTGTGTGTGTGTGTGTTTGCCGTGCTGCTCCTTCATGTCGTGGTCTTGTTGCTGTCGTTAGAGGTCCCCGCCGCAAGGCGTTCTGTTCGGGGCTGCTTCTGTGATTTCGTATGTGTGTGTGTGTTTGCCGTGCTGCTCTGTGCCCTGTCTCCCCAATTGGAGCTGTGCGTAGCCCGCCCAGCTTTTACCGGAAGAGGGTTGCTCTCGCCCAGCAGACCAAAAAGTGTTTGCCGTGCTGCTTCTTCCTTTCGTGGTCTTGTTGCTGTCGTTGCAGGTCTCCGCCGCAAGGCGTTCTGTTCTGTAGGGGCTGTTTCTGTGATTTCATGTGTGTTTGCCGTGCTTCCTCTTCATTTCGTGGTCTTGTTGCTGTCGTTGCAGGTCTCCGCCGCAAGGCGTTCTGTTCTGTTTGGGGCTGTTTCTGTGATTTCATGTGTGTTTGCCTTGCTTCTTCTTCATTTCGTGGTCTTGTTGCTGTCGGTGCAGGTCTCCGCCGCAAGGCGTTCTGTTCTGCTTGGGGCTGTTTCTGTGATGTCATGTGTGTTTGCCCTGCTTCCTCTTCATTTCGTGGTCTTGTTGCTGTCGTTAGAGGTCTCCGCCGCAAGGCGTTCTTTTCTGTTTGGGGCTGTTTCTGTGATTTCATGTGTGTTTGCCGTGCTTCTTCTTCAGTTCGTGGTCTTGTTGCTGTCGTTGCAGGTCTCCGCCGCAAGGCGTTCTGTTCTGTTTGGGGCTGTTTCTGTGAGTTCATGTGTGTTTGCAGTGCTTCTTCTTCATTTCGTGGTCTTGTTGCTGTCGTTGCAGGTCTTCGCCGCAAGGCGTTCTGTTCTGTGATTTCATGTGTGTTTGCCGTGTTTCTTTTTTCGTGGTCTTGTTGCTGTCGTTGCAGGTCTCCGCCGCAAGGCGTTCTGTTCTGTTTGGGGCTGTTTCTGTGAGTTCATGTGTGTTTGCAGTGCTTCTTCTTCATTTCGTGGTCTTGTTGCTGTCGTTGCAGGTCGTGCTTCTGTTTCTGTGATTTCATGTGTGTTTGCCGTGCTTCCTCTTCCTTTCGTGGTCTTGTTGCTGTCGTTAGAGGTCTCCGCCGCAAGGCGTTCTTTTCTGTTTGGGGCTGTTTCTGTGTTTTCATAGGTGTTTGCCGTGCTTCCTCTTCATTTCGTGGTGTTGTTGCTATCGGTGCAGGTCTCCGCCCCAAGGCGTTCTGTTCTGTTTGGGGCTGTTTCTGTGAGTTCATGTGTGTTTGCAGTGCTTCTTCTTCATTTCGTGGTCTTGTTGCTGTCGTTGCAGGTCTTCGCCGCAAGGCGTTCTGTTCTGTGATTTCATGTGTGTTTGCCGTGTTTCTTTTTTCCTTTCGTGGTCTTGTTGTTGTCGTTGCAGGTCTCCGCCGCAAGGCGTTCTGTTCTGTTTGGGGCTGTTTCTGTGATTTCATGTGTGTTTGCCTTGCTTCTTCTTCATTTCGTGGTCTTGTTGCTGTCGTTAGAGGTCTCCGCCGCAAGGCGTTTTGTTCTGTGGCTTCATGTGTGTTTGCCGTGCTTCTTCTTCAGTTCGTGGTCTTGTTGTTGTCGTTGCAGGTCTCCGCCGCAAGGCGTTCTGTTCTGTTTGGGGCTGTTTCTGTGATTTCATGTGTGTTTGCAGTGTTTCTTCTTCATTTCGTGGTCTTGTTGCTGTCGTAAGAGGTCTCCGCCGCAAGGCGTTCTTTTCTGTTTGGGGCTGTTTCTGTGGTTTCATGTGTGTTTGCCGTGTTTCTTCTTCATTTCGTGGTCTTGTTGTTGTCGTTGCAGGTCTCCGCCGCAAGGCGTTCTGTTCTGTTAGGGGCTGTTTCTGTGTTTTCATGTGTGTTTGCCGTGCTTCTTCTTCATTTCGTGGTCTTGTTGCTATCGTTGCAGGTCTCCGCTCCAAGGCGTTTTGTTCTGTTTGGGGCTGTTTCTGTGATTTCATGTGTGTTTGCCGTTCTCTTCATTTCGTGGTCTTGTTGCTGTCGTTAGAGGTATCCGCCGCAAGGCGTTTTGTTCTGCTTGGGGCTGTTTCTGTGATTTCATGTGTGTTTGCCTTGCTTCTTCTTCATTTCGTGACTTGGTTTCTGTCGTTAGAGGTCTCCGCCGCAAGGCGTTCTTTGTGTCTTCCTTCTTCGCTTTGTGGTCTTGTTGTTTGTCGTTTCCAGCGTCAGTGAGAGGAGATCTTTTTTGGCACAGTTTCCATCACTGTCGTTTGCTAGATTCCAGGGCTGTGCTCCCTTCTTCTTCACTTTGTGGTCTTGTTGTGTGTCGTTTCCAGCGTCAATGAGAGGATACTTTTTTGGGGACAATTTCCATCACTGTCGTTTGCTAGACTCCAGGGCTGTGTTTCCTTCTTCACTGTGTGGTCTTGTTGTGTGTCGGTTCCAGCGTCACTGAGAGGAGACAGTTTTTTTGGCACAGTTTCCATCACTGTTGCATGCTAGATTCCAGGGCTGCGCTTCCTTCTTCTTCGCTTTGTGGTCTTGTGGTTTGCCGTTTCCAGCGTCAGTGAGCGGAGACTTTTTTTTGGCACAGTTTCCATCATTGGTGCTTGCTAGGTTCCAGGGCTGTGCTTCCTTCTTCTTCACTTTGTGGTCTTGTGGTTTGTCGTTTCCAGCGTCAGTGAGAGGAGACCGTTTTTGGCATAGTTTCCATCACTGTTGTTTGCTAGATTCCAGGTCTGTGTTTCCTTCTTCCTTTTGTGGTCTTGTTGTTTGGCGTTTCAAGCGTCAATGAGAGGATACCTTTTTGAGCATAGTTTCCATCACTGGTTTTCGCTATATTGCAGGGCTGCGCGTCCTTCTTCACTTTGTGGTCGTGTTGTTTGTCGTTACCAGCGTTAATGAGAGACTGTTTTTGGCATAGTTTCCATCACTGTCGTTTGTTACATTCCAGGGCTGCCGCTTATGAAACACCAGGCGGTAGGCAACCGTCGGCAGGAACACGCCGCAGCCTGTTCCTGCCAACTGCTACGTACCGTTCCCTCTAGCACCACATACTTGTTACACAATTCGCAGGTGTTGCATCTCAGAACTTGTTTATTCAGTTTAAGTGCTCCGTGTTAGAATCGCTCCAGGTCCGCGTCATGGATTCATAGTACGTTCAAGTTCGGAGCTAGAACAAAACGCCCAGGGCGTTTCCAGCAACCACTACGAGGAAGTGTGCGCGGTAGTGAGGTTCGCGCCGCGATGACGCGGCGGCGACCCTGGCGCGGGCGTTCAAGGTTGAACGCCGCCGATGGCCCCAAGTCGGCCGATACCCAGCGACCCGCGCTGCCGCAAAGCCCCGATCGCTCGAGGCTGAACGATCCACGCGGTGCCACAAGCCTCCGCCGACGTCATCGTGACGAACACGTGCCCATCCCAAGCTTGTGACCTCTTGAAGTCGGCCTAGCGGCCGCTTGCTTGCCAGCTGCGGCCTCCAGCGGCTGCACACAGGCCTCGGAACAAGTTGGCGAGCACGCGTGCCACGTTCGTCCGTCAACGCCTCCCCCCCGATGTTCAAAGTTGGCGGTGGGCCTGATGAGATGCACGTCGACCGCAGTCTCCCCCGCGCGTGCCAACATTGAGTTTGGGGGGGAGGAGGAGGAGGAGGAGGAGGAGGAGGAGGAGGAGGAGGAGGAGGAGGGAGATGAGGAGGCTGAGGAGGAAGACGAGGAGGCAGCTGCCGGCCAGAAGCTTGGCGAGGCTTCGGTACTTGTGCCCCTCTACCGCATCGGGCGCCGGGGCCGCCGGAGCACGCGGGACGGAGCGCCGGCCCCGGCGAAGGGCCGAGGGGGGCAGCGACGAGGACGTGCCGGCCCGGGCCCTACTCTGGCCATGCTGGTCGGGAGCCTCGAGACGGGGGTCAATGCAAACGGGGGTCAGCCAGGGCGCCAGATCCTGCAGGATCCTGCGAAGACCCCCTCTGGCTGACCCGGGTTAGGGAGCCGCTCGTGGCCGCGAGGCGGCCGCGCATATTGGCTGACCCGGGTCTGCGAAGACTTGCGGTGCAGTTTTTTTTTCCTGCATTGCAGTTTTTGGTTTCCTGCTGACCCGGGTCTGGATTGACCCGGGTCAGAAGATCCCCGAGCTGGCACACGCAGGTTCGGGGGCGGAAAAAAGGGGGGTGATGACTATAGGGGGGGGTGGATATCATGGCGGGGGCCATGATGTTTCCCCAGATTTCATGGCGCCTCTTCTTGTTTCATCACGTCCCTGGCCCCCCCGCCGGGCCGCGCGCATGCCGCCGGTCATGATTTGCACCCCCCCTTCTTGGACACCCCCCTCTTTGCCGCTCCCGACAGGTGGCCCTCGCGGCCTGGCCAGGAGGCCGACAGAAACTGTGGGCCGGTCACGAGTTACAGTGGGAGCGCGCATCAAGAAACCGTATACTTTTCGTCGGGGTACTCTGGGTTTCTTCGCTCCGCGAATCGCGCGGTGCATTTCCCCAGCCGTCGAAGAGGCTGCTGCGTTGAGGGTGCTCTGGGTTTCCCCTGGGGTGCACCTCGCGCGCGGGTTCTTAGGGTTGGGTTTCTTGCGAGGGTTTCTTGCGGCCACGCCCGCACCGTAGTCGAGGCGTGGCGGCGGTGTGCAGTGACAGTTCACTCGCCGTCACGCTGTTCTTCGTGGCGTGCGCCCCCGAAGTCCTCGGCCTTTTGCCCAGGGCGCGCCTGTCGTCCCAAGCCTGTTTTTCGATGGCCCAGGGCCCAGGTTCAGTGATCCTGAGCGCCAGAAAGGGCGGGACTTCCGAGTGTGTGTTTGTTCTCGGAGGCGCATCTTAACATGCATAATGCCCGTTTCTCATGGTTGTAGAGGCTTCTGAAGGTCGTTGAAGGCCACTAGAGGCTGCTACAGGCCACTGAAGGCTGCTAAACGTTTGCTAAAGGGCACTCAAGTCCGCTAATCATGCGCAAAAGGCCGCTAGAGGCCACTAAAGGGTACCACACCGAGGTGGAACGTGTCAGAATGAGATTCCAAAGAGACTCACCTGAGAACTTGCCAGGCCAGTTTTTGTCTGAGTCCCGGATGTCGAGTTCAAGGGGGGCCACTTCTGCCTCAGAGTTAGCCCGAGGACTTCTCCCAGGGTGCGTTCTTTGATGAGCATTCCGGGGCGAACCCAGCCGGAGCCGCTGCGACGAGAAGCTGCCCGCGGGGCCGGCAGAGGGCCTCAGAGCCACCTCGATGTTCGAACCACGATCCTCGAGCCTCGAGCTTCGCACCTGGACATCCTGGTCCTCCTCTTCGACAGCGGCCATCCCAGAACTCCTCGGGGACACGCTCTGGGCAGCACGCTTCGAGAGGGCTCCAGCCGTGGCGACGGGTCGCCGCCCCGGCACCCGGGCAGCCGGGCAGACCCACACGCCTCGGGCCTAGCACCTCCGGTGCCACTTTTTCTCCCAGCCGCTGCAGGGCTGCGTCTCCCCGAGGACTCTGGGTGCTGCCCGAGGTGGCTCTGGCCCGAAACAGACCCGCTGAGGCCAAGACGTCCCCCAGAACACCCCTCCTCCTCCTCCTCCTCCTCCCCCTCCTCCTCCTCCTCCTCCTCCTCCTCCTCCTCCTCCTCCTCCTCCTCACTCTCCACCTGCAGCCGTCCGTGGCCACAGGGGGGGAGAGATCGGCGGCGCGCGCCCGGGGGGATCGAGCAGCGAGGGGGGCGGGCCTCTCCTCCTCCTCCTCCTCCTCCTCCTCCTCCTCCTCCCCCTCCTCCTCCTCCTCCTCCTCTCCTCCTCCTCCTCCCCTCCCCCTCCTCCTCTCCCTCTCCACCCTGCACTCTCCGCCTGCGCCCCCTCAACCCCGCCCCTCCCGCCCCCCCCCCTCCCTCCCAAGGGAGGGCGAGCACCCCTCACCGGCCCGGGAGGGCCCAGAGGGGGTTCCGACTGGCCCGAAGCCTTGGGGACGCGTCCACACTGCTTCCTGGGAGCTCCACGACCCCCAGAGTTCTGGCGGAGCGAGTGGGGCCAGAACGCAGGGACACGGGCCGCCTCGACCTTCCCGAGCCGCCGGATCTTCGGGTCAGGATCGGAGGAAGGAGGCGCGAAACCACCACCTCCATGAGTGTGACCTCCAGGGAGGACTCCCACGATGCCTCCCTGAGCGGGGGCTTGGAGGGATGCCTCGAGCAGGGAGGGGGAGGCACACCACCAGGAGCGGCGACCCCTGGCTCCTCGCGCCGGTGGAGGTGGTGTCGCTGCCCAGACAGTTCAGAGGCGGCGACAGGGGCGAACAGCCCAGGGGAGAGCAGTGCACGCATCCAGGGGCGCCGATGACCTATGCCTTCGCCAAGGCTCCCGGGCGAATGCGTGTCATGTCGCCCTTGTCGTCGCCGCCGAACACTCCGCTGCCCCATGCCCTCCGAGCCCTCCCTCGGGGATATCCCGGCGCCCTGGGTCCGATCTCGGCGGCCCCGCGGGGCCGTCCACGAGCCCCAGGGGCCGAAAGGGCCCACATTGCAACAGTCATCTCTCAGGAGGGGAAAAAACACACACAGCCACAATTAATTATTGGCGATTCCCAGAAAACATTGGAGAATCTGGGAAGTGGGGGGGAAGACGAAAACCCAGAAAGTATAAGAGAACACGGGGGATATTCTTACTTGTGTGTACTCCTTGGTGTGTCCCCATTCCCCTTCGACCTCGTCGGAGGTCTGGCCTCTCTTGGTCCCCACCAGGAGCCGGCGCCGCAGGCGCCACCCGAGAGCGCGCCCCAGCAGTGGTGCCCCGAGGTGCCCACGGGCGGCGGCGGCGTCGTCCTCGGGAGCCCCGGCGCGGCGGTGTCGTCCACGGCGATCCCGAAGGCCTGCGCGGCGGGGGCACCGAGGGGGAGGGGGATGGCCAGGTCAGAGCGAATCTGGGAGAGCAGATCAGGCCCTGGCGCACTCCGCGCGGATACGCCCCAGGCGATGCTTAAGAAAACTTCAGTTTTCGGCCAGAGTCTCGATTATTCTTCATGTTTCGATGTGAATCCTAAGATTTCGATCGAAATTCTGGTTTTTATTCAAGTTCTGAGACTATGAATTTCTTAACCCATGATTTCTAAAGCGTTTCGCAGGGTGTAGGCTCATGGTGTGCATAGGCTCATGGTGGGCTCGAGGTTCGACAGTTTCTGGCGTTTGCGTATAGGCTCTCGGCGGCTCGCCAGCCTTGGGGTGCCCCTTCCAGCGGCCGCGCCTCGCCGCGGGCGTTCTCTGTGGGTGCCGGGATCGTCCCGAACGGCCGCCGGGGACCTGAGTTAATCAGGAGGAAAAAGAACACACAGACACAATTAATCCTCAATTCCCCAGAAAACATGAGAAAATATGGGAAGTGGGGGGGAAGACAGAAACCCAGAAAATATAAGAAAATATGGGGAATCGTTTTATTTGTGTGTATTTATTTGTGTGTCCTGGGGCCCCTTCAGTTATTGCAGAAAGCCAGGGGGCGAAGACGTTGGGACAAAGGCTCAAGAACGCAGCAAGCATCTGTACACCACCACCGTGCCAAGCCAGGGCCATCCTGGCCCTGGCATGGTGTACACGCCCTCCTGGCCGAGGCCAGGAGGGTCTATGCACCATCCTGGCCTGGCGCGGCGGTGGTGTCAGGCGATCGCAAACATGGATCAAGGGGGCGTGGATTCGCGACGGGTCCCGTTTCCATGGGCGATCGCGGAGTTTCGCTTCCGAGCGAGGCGGCACTGGCCGCATTCTGGGAAGGGCTCTTCCCCCTAGCCATGGATTTGGCGACCGCGCGCCAAAGCCATGGATGCTACAGGCGGCCCGGATTAGTAGGTCGACCCTGCCAGATCAAGGGTACCCTCGTGTCCCCTGTCTCGCGACCCATGCCTCCTGCATTCCTGTGGCAACGTGGCCCTCGGAAGGGCCTTGTGTCCTCTCGCGTGTCCTCTGCAATCAAGTCCGACTGCATCCGTGGATGTGGCGACCGCGCGCCAGATCCATGGGTCGCTAATCCACGTTTGCGCGCTCCCGGCGGTGTTCTTTCCCCCCACCCGAGCTTGTTCGGCCCTGGCCTTGGTATCGCTCGGACGTGTGCACTTTTTCTCGACGGGGATTATTAAGGAGCATCCTGGATCATCCTGCGAAAAAGCCACGCACGAAACCGGACAAAGCACAGGGAATGGACGTCCGAACGATGGCCAGTGACGCTTTCTCTTCAGAGGGGCGGGCGGCCAGGCGGATCGAGTGCCCCCGTGCCTCCCCTGGGGTCTGGGCGTCGCACTCTTCTCACGCGGGGTGAGCTCGTCTAGATTTTGAAGTCGGGCACGCCCCTCTACAGGAGGAGTACTCAAAGATTGTCAACACTATTTTCTGGCGACGATTTTTTCCGCATTTTTCAATTATTTTGAATATGTTTGGGATATTTTGATTTTTCGTCTCACATCCCCCTGAAGGGGGACATGCCCGACCTAAGTCTAGATGTTCCGTTCCAGGCGACCCTCTCGGAACGATCCAGCTCGAGAGGCGCCGCAGAAGGGAGGGGTCCAGGGCTCCGGTCGTGATTTCTCAAAATGCTGCATGTGTTCCATGGCGGCGGATATCAGTGTTCCCTGCTCCTTCTCCTCCTCCTCCTCCTCCTCCTCGTCCTCGTGTTCCTGCTCCTTGGCCTGCTCCTCCTCCTTCTCCTCTTCTTCTTCTTCTTCTTCTTCTTCTTCTACTCTCATACTCACACTTTTTTCCTCCGTCCTCCTCCTCCTCCTCCTCCTCCTCCTCCTCCTCCTCCTACGCCTCTGTCATCCCCATCCCCCCCTTCGCGCGCGCGCGGAGGGAGGGAGCGGGAGGGCGTGGGAGGGACATTGACGGCGGGGAGGAGGGAGGAGGGGGGTGTTCGACGACGCGACGTCGGTGGCGGTCCACGACGTCGACGACCGTCGACGGCGACGGCGACGGCGACGGCGACGTCGGCGAGGACGACGCCATCGGCAGCGGCCTCGGCGGCGGCGGCGGCGAGAGCGTCGCCGGCGGCCCGCGCCCGGCAGGCGGGCAGCCCGAGGCCCGATCACCACATCCAGGTCACGCACGTGCTGGCGGGGCAGGAGCGGGCGGGGCGCCTTCTCCTCCTCCTCCTCCTCCTCCTCCTCCTCCTCCTCCTCCTCCTCTCCGTAGCCATTTTGGCTCAAGGCGCCTGGTGGCCAGGCACTAAGGCCGGGAGCGGACGCGCTCCCCTGGCCCCGCGGGGCCGCTCTCCCTCGGCCGCTGCGGCCGCGCCTTCCCTCTCTCCCTGCGCCATGCCGTCAGAAGATAGCTGGCCAGTTTCGCTCTCCTCGACTCCGCCAGCCTCCCCTGGAGGGACGAGTACCCCCCCTGCGGCGCCTGGAGGTACATCCGTGGAGGGAATGAGGGACACAGAGAAGATCCTCGCTGCCATGCGTGACATGATCGCTCCTCTGTCGTCGTCGGTCGCCAGCCTGTCCAGTCAGTTGAATCTCGGCGTGCAGGAGATAAACCAACAGATCTCGGGAATCCAGGGTCAGATGATCGCAGCTGAGAAGAACTTCCAGACACTACAGCAGGCACGCACGGAGCTGGCGAAACAGACGGCATCGAATTTCGAGCAGATGCGTGCGATCCATGAACAGGCCCTCCTGCAGTGCACTCAGGACCGTGAGACAGCAGAATCTGCCCTTCGGGATGAGCTCAAAGGAATGATCCAGGCGATGCGTGATGATATCCAGGACATTCAGAAAGTCGTCGAGCTTGGGACCCCGACACCTCGTGGCGAAGAAGAAAGGCAAGTCCGTCGGAAGGTTGACTCTGGGCTAGTGGGTAACCCCTCGCGTCTTGTGGTTCTTGGATTTCCTCGGCCGCTGATGGAGAAAACGCTCCGTGAAGCCGCCCAGAGCATCCTCGCCCGCTGTGCTCCGTCCTCGTCTCAGGGTTCGATCCATATCAAGGCCTTCGATTGCAGCAAGAAGGTGTTCCTGGACTTTGATTCCAACCTAGAGGCCTCCACGTTCCATGGAATGGCGTCGTCCGTGGGCGCGGTCCCTTTCCCGAACCCTGAGGGCGGTCACGACTTACAGCTAGGGGTCCGACGTGATCTCCCCCCCTCTTCCAGGAAGCTGTTCTACTACCTCGGGAATATGCGACAGCATGTCTCCAGAATCTTCGGGGCGGGCAAAGTGGGGCCCACGGGACTAGGAGGTGCAGTGTATGTGATGAAGGGCAACGGAGTCCCTGTGCCAGTGGTTAAGATTTCTATTGTTGATAATGGCCCCACCGCGGGTACCGTGCAGTGTGGCGTCGAGATCGATGGGTTGACGGAAGTGGGAGGGCAGCAGCATGCGCAGTGTCTGCACGCCAGGTTCGCAGAGATCCGCCCCTTTCGGCGAGTGTCAGAACAGTTCGACAGGTGAGTGTGCGGCGGGGAGAAGTCCAGTGGGTTCTGCTACTGAGTGCTCGTCCGCCCTCTCCGCCCAGTTTGATGTACACCATGCAAGTGGCAGCGCTTTATCCTTCTCGCCGCCTGCTGGGGAAGCTGGTGGTGTCTACCGTCCTGCCCGTCCTCTGTCTCTCTGCAGTTGGAACACGCGCGCACTCTTCGCCTCTCTTTCGTCTCGTTCATCTCGGTCACGTTCGCGCTTCCTTCGGGCTAAGCAGCTGCTCTCACAGTATCAGGTCATGTGTTTGCAGGAGACGCGCGAATCTGACGCAGACTTGGTTATCCTTCGGGGCGAAATGCGGATTGGGCAAATTTTTGGGGGCTTTCTAGAAGATAGGAACGCGGGGGGGGGGGGGGGGGGGCCCTCCTGTCTTCGGAACTCTGTGACTGCTTCGACCCGATCCCTCCGACCACGGTAGTTCCTGGGCGAGTGTTACTCGTCCATTGTCGGGGGCCTCGAGGCGACTTGGTAGTGGTCAATGTACATATGTCTAACACGTGCGATGACGTCCGTATCTATCACCAGTACTTACGCCTCATCAAATGCCGCCCTCCTGCGGCAGCGCATACCATGGTTATCATTCTGGGCGACTGGGACTTCTGTACGATGGAGGATGGTCGGTCTTTTGTCTCAGGGGAGGTTGGGCCTGGGGACCGTTTGCAATGTGATGCTTTCCAGGGGCATTGTAGCCACTGGTGTGAATTGTACCAACCCGACCCGACCAGAAGGGATATTGTGAATCGGGAACTGAGGGGCTGGCAAGACTGAGGGGGCTGGCCAGGTTAGATCGGACTTACGCGACCCTTCCTGCAGGTATTCTCAATGAGATGACCGTTGTTGTCAACGCTGTCGGCGCCCTCATGCATCCAGGGGCCTCCTCCGATCGCATTCCCGTGACAGCCGCTGGTTCCCTCCCGGCCCCGAAGGGTCGTTTCTCGGTTCCGAAATGGATCAGCCAGCATGCCGACTACCACAGAATGGTTTCCGAACAGCTTCGGGAGCTGACGCTCCCATCGGACCCTGCACAGAAACTCGCGAGAGTGCAAGAAGTTTTTGGTACGGCAGCTGCTGAATTCAAGAAGGCCCTTAAGTGTCGACCAGCGGGCAACGATGCGGAACGGCTCCACTTTGCGTTCATGGCATACCGTGGATGGAGGGGTCGGCAGTGGTATCTCTGTCTTCGTGCCATCCGCTGCTACGCTTCTCTCCTGCCTTTCTTCGACGTCGACGGCGGTGTGTGCACTGATCCTGATGGCCTCCACAGTTTGGTACTGACCTTGAAGGGGCGTTGGTTTGATGCGGAATTGGAGGAGTTGGATCATAGTAACCAAGTGGAGGAGGTCAGGGCCAAGAAGAGGCGGAGGCTGGTGGCTCTTCGGCGCGGGTGGGATCTCATGAGGAGGAGGACTGGACTGCTAGGCGTTCTGGGCGAGAGCGGGACCCCACTCATTGGGAAGATTACGGCCCGACTCATTGGGATGAAATGCTGACTCATGTTCAGACTATTGGCGACTGTACTGCTGCCCCACGGTGGAAACTTGACGCGGATGAATTTCGGGGCCGTGTCGGCCATATGTTTCATTCTGCTCCTGGCCCTGACGGGATCCTGTATGGGTGCTGGAAGGTCCCTGAGGCGACTGATGCTCTATTTGAGGTTTACGAGGAGGTTATCAATGTCGGGTTAGTCGCATGGCGTTCCTCCCGAAGGGCAGCGGCCCCAGGGATCGCAGCGACTTTGTCTCTCGTGCACCTGCCTCCACCCGCCCGCTCTCCCTGGCAAATACGGATGCGAAGATGCCCTCCGATGCCTTCTGTTTGGCCCCCAATGACGTCGCTCCTGAGACGGTGGATGTCTCCCAGCGCGGTGGGGTTCGAGGGCGTAACATATTAGACAATGTCGTTGAAGTAGAAACATGGGGCCTTATCCAACACATGTGTGGGAGAGATAAGGCGGGGGTCTTGTTCGCAGATTTCAAGGCGGCGTTTCCGTCGATCCTGGCCGAGTGGATTTTTGCCGTTTTGGTGGCCATGGGGATTCCCAGTGAGACCGTGGGTTTCTTCGAAGCCCTGTGCGCCAACAATGCGGCTCTGGCATGCTTTGAGGGCGCTGCCGAAACGGTTTTCCCTGTGGAACGAGGTGTGCGGCAGGGTGATCCTGCGTCAATGACCCTCTCTGCTCTGGCCCTGGACCCCGTACTGCGCTGGATCCGTGCCCGCCGTGTCGAACGTCTAGGTGTCCAATTGGCGTGCGCTGATGACTGCTGCTTTGGGCTATGTGACATTCTCGTCGATCTCATGCCCACCTTGCTGCTTCTCGACTTGCACTCTTCCGCGATTGGTCTCTCGTTGAATGTGGGGAAATGCTACGTCCTGATCTGCGGGACGCTGAATGGAGATGCCCTCGCTGCCCACATGACCCGGAAAGGCAGCCGTTTCGCCTCCGTCCGTTTCGCCACCAGAGTTTTGTACCTCGGATTCTGGGTGGGCCCATCGGCCCATGAGGTGACCTGGGTGGAAACGGTGAATAAGTTCTGGCAGCGAGTCCGTCTTCTTCGCTCTCTCTCGCTGGGCTTGGCGACCACCATCCGCCTGTTCCACTCTAATTGCCTCTCCGTCTTGCAGTGTCGGATCCAGCTGGTGAGGGTCACCCCAGGGGTTCGGCGTCAGCGTAGGGAAGCATTGCAGATACTAACAGCGGGACCTCGGCATGCTTTGGACTACACTATGCTCACCCAGTTACTTGACCTTGGGATCTCACTTGCATTCGTGGACCTGGGACTGTATGATAAAGCTCCGAAATTTCGGGTGGTAATGCGGTGCAAGGCATTAGATGATGCGCTTTATGAGTTAGATGGCTTATCTAGTGGCTTGACTGATGATGAATGTATTCCTGCCCGTCTGTTTTCTGGGTGGTGGTGCCATTCGATGATACGCACGACGAATGAGGATGCTGCGGACCTCGCGAACTGCCCGTCTTATCCAGGCCAAGGTCCATCGGCGCTTACGGTCGGTTCGTATGGCTGCCACTCCACTGTTGTGTCTGAGTGTACGGGTATCGAGGTGGTTAGTTGCATCATCTCTCGAGGATATGTTCCGTCTGCGGACTAGATTGCGCGCAGTGGAGCGTGCCACGTGCACCCATCTGGCTACCAACGTTCTCCGCGTACTGTCCAGGGGCGTTTGTACTTCGGCGCGTCTTCATGCGAATGACCGTGGGTGCTGCTTTGGGTGTGTGGCCCCCGATGACCTTCACCACTACAAAATCTGTGATCGATTCCGTGACCTGGCACTGCACCGTCTCCCTGGGTTGGAAGCTTTACCCACGCCGTGAAGGGAGATGTGGCAGCACCGAGATACCTGGTTTACCTGTCTATGTCTGATGGGACCTTCCTGGGGGCTCGACCGCGACGTTGCCTGTGCTGCCTTCATCGATGCATTTCTTCAGACACACGCCCATCATCGGCGCTTGACACAGGCCCCCTCGTCCCAGGTCTTCGTGGCCCGATTGCGTCTTCTGGCTCGTCGGTATACTGGTGTTGCACGACAGTTCAGGGCGCGGCGTACTGTGCGGGCTGCCACGTGAAGTGATGTCGTCGGAGTGTACCTCGGTGTCTCACGGGCGAACGAAGATCGGCCTCCCGTTGTGCACTGGCGCCCAGTGCATGCGCGGAGGGTAAAAGGGACACCGAGCAGATCCTTGACGCCATGCGTGATTTGATTGTTGCACGACAGTTCTGAGCACAGTGTATTGGGTGGGCTGCCTGGTGAAGTGATGTCGTCTGAGTGTGACCGCCCCCTCTCATCTCTCGCGCGTGTGCTCTAGTTCTTGTCTCTGTGTTCCCTTGCCTCTCCTGTCGCTTGCTGTCTTCCGTCTCCCTGCCTCTGCCGCTGCCCCTTCCCTGCGGGGTGGGCGTTGTTGGGTCCTCGGTTTTTCCCGTCCCCCTCTTCCCCTGCCTTTCTCCCAGCCCGCCCCCATCGGTCCTTCTGCTGCTTGCTCCTCCGTGCGTGTTCTGGCGCTGCTGGGGTTGGGCCCCCGCCTGGCTGGGGGAGCGCGCGCGGGGGCGCGCGTGCGCCCGCCCCGCCGCTCCCTGCCGCCCCCGCCGCCCGCCCCGTCGACGGCCTGTTCAACTGTGCCCGTTGCTCCTCTCTGGGAGGTAGGGCGCCTGCCTCTCGATTTTGTTTAGGCGTGTTTCGTGCCTGGGTTGTGGGTCGTGGTGACGGTGGCCTGGGTTGCAAGCGCCCGAGGCTTGTGGGGCATGGGCTCTGTCCTCCCCCGTCACCGAGTGCGCCCCCCCGCTGCCGAGGACTTTCGTTCGGGGGGATCGGTAGCGGGCGGTGCTGCCCCGCCCCGCCCCGCGCGCGAGGTACCTCGGTACCTCCCACGGGTGGGCGAAGATCGGCCACCCGTTGTGCACGGGCGTCCAGTGCCCTGTCCTTCCTCTCCCCTTCGCTGCTCCTCTGCTGCCGCTGCTCCCCCCTCCTGCACGGATATTGAAGTTGGCAGGCGTGGCCTGCCGCCGCGCTGCTGTTGCTGATCACGGATTACGGACCTGTATGGAATATTGATGCTCGCCCGCGCGGAAAAAAAACTCCTCCTCCTTCTCCTCCTCCTCCTCCTCCTCCTCCTCCTCCTCCTCCTCCTCCTCTTCCTAAGCTCCTCCTCCTCCTCCTCTTTCTAAGGCCCCCCCCCTCCTCCTTCTCTTTCTAAGGCCAGCTAGGGGGGCCCCGGCCCAGCGAGCGCCGGCGGGGAGCCCCCCGCCTGCTCCTTGCCTCCCCCCACTCTCGCCCTGCCCCTCGACAAGGGGGGGCGAGGGGGAGGGGGGGGAGGGGGAGGAGGAGGAGGAGGAGGAGGACGGGGCGGGGCCTGCTCGGAAGGTGTTTCTGGAGGGCCTCCGGCCTGCTCCCCGAGGCGCGGAGGGCGCCCGGGAAGGCCGGAGGGCCTCCGAGAGGTCCCCGCCGCCTTCCGAGGAGGCCGGAGCTCCTTCGCTCGGGGGGGCGGCAGAGCGGGGGGTGATGACCATAGGGGGGGGTGGATATCATGGCGGGGGCCACGACATGTCCCCAGATGTCATAGATGGCGCCTCTTCTGGTTGCATGACGTCCCCGGCCCCCCCGCTGGGCCGCGCACGTGCCGCTGGTCATGACTTGCACCCCCCCTCTCTTGGACACCCCCCTCTTGGCTGCTCCCGATTCGCGTTTCCCCCCCGGGCGCGCCGTCGGGAGAGGTCGTCGGGCGGGCGTATGAGAATATATACATATATATATATATATACACACATGTATTCACATACGCATCTCTCCGAGGGAGTAGAGCTCAGAGGCGATTGATGCGTACGCTGGGCGTCCGCGAATTTTCTGGCCGCTTCGCTAGGGACATCCTCGAAATTCTGAAAATCGGTGGCACCCCTCACGCAGATCGTGACGTCAGGGTCCAAAAGCATATGATAATTTCAATAGTTCAACACAAAACCTTCCAAAACACATTGTACTTTCAATACTTTTGACCCCGATTCTCAGAGAATGGCGGTTTCGCTTGAAACGTCCTCCCAAAATCGAGCCCCGACGCACACTTTGATACCCCAGACCCCGCCTCGGAGCCTCCTGGGGGCATCCTGGAACCTCCTGGGGCCTCCTGGGGCATTCTGAACCTTCTGGTGCCCCATACCCCGCCTCGGAGCCTCCTGGGGGTCTCCTGAAACCTCCTGGGGCCTCCTGGGGCCTCCTGCGGCCTCCTGGAGCCTCTTGGGGCCTCCTGAAGCCTCCTGGGGTCTCCTGGGGCCTCCTGAGGCCGCCTGGGGCCTCCTGGGGTTTCCTGGGGCCTCAGAACTACATGCACACACAGAAACACAAATCACGCCCAACACATCACACGCTAGATAAACAGAACACACACACACACACACACACACACACACACACACACACACACACACACACACACACACACACAC